TACCTAAAGGAGGGTAAGCAGTTATAAGGGATTCTTGAGGACAAGAACCAAGGAAAGGGGAAGGTAATATTACAGACCCTGTAATATAAGGGGCCGCAACCTACAAATAGGCCATTAAGAGCTAACCATTCTACAACCACCATAACCGTCTGTAGATTACGTATAGAATACCGTAAGAACTTATGGTCTTCCTACTATAGCTATACAATATAGAATAACTAGGTCAGCCAGTAGGGAAACCACGATTAACCTATCCACTGGACGAAGGATATCGTCTTATGATCAGTTGGTTTCTACGGGCTGTCCTGCCCTACGATAGCCTGATTCGTACAACGAACCATAATGTACGATAGAAAGTATCGTAAGGACTAGACCATTGCACGAACTACCATAGTTTCTAATTAACCCAGGAAAACTATAGAAGTTCGTACGATAGTATCTAACACAGGGATAAGAAGGCCGTACGACGAACATATGACTACAGGGTATACCAGTGGGTATACCAGGGGGTAGACGGAAGGGCATAATCTGGTATACTACCAGGTATACCCTCTGATATACCATACCAGGAAGGACTAGGATATATAGGACACTCTTTACGTACATATATTTAGTTCTTCGCGATTAATCAACCTAAGTTACTACAGTATACCTTCAGACTATTCTTTATTCAGTTTCATCTCTTATGACAAATATACTATAAATAGGGAAGCTCTTCAGACTGACCTATTTGGCGCACTACCTGGCGTATCCTTCGAAGTTACTCTACAGGATCCGAGTCCGTATAAGGCTTAGCACAGCAACGGTACGATTGCGAGTCGATACTTAAGGATTATAAGTGATAGATATCACACCCAATCAAGACACACTGAACAACTGGTAAGTTGTTGCACGATAATCTAACCACTCACTGTGACCAGTTAGCAACGCGTAACAGTATAGCTACTGGGGATAGGGGTATACTTCTATATCCTTTATCATTATTTATATATGCCTCGTCGATACCGATTATATTGCCTTCAAACTATAGCTGGTTCTGCTGCCTGGCAAACCTACAACAGATCTCTAATGACTGGGGGTCTAACCACAATGCTTTGTACAAAATCAAAAACTACGTAATCTTAATCAAACTGGATATCTAGGGGGGGGAAATTCTCAGATATAGCCCAACCAAACTGCCCGCATCCAATCATAGCAGTAGCATAAATTATAGCATACCTATATTTATTGTTGTAGATCTTCTGGTATAATAAATCAATATAAAAATTCAATAATGCATATTTAATAGGACGAATTTCAAATAGCTCGGGCTTATCGTTATTAGGGTTAGGATAACTGGCATCAGTCTGGGCATAGTGCTATACAGCATCCTATAACTACTGCTATCGGCGGGTAAATAAATATTTAGGCGATTCCTAATCATATTTAATCTGGGCTGGTTAATTAATCTGGGTATCTAATAGAATATATCAGATAATAGGAACGGGGATCGGGTATAGACATAATTATACCTGGGTTCAGGCAAAAAACATTATAATCTACTGCTATAGCACCATATACTTTTGGATAGCAGTAGTATCTAAATATACTAATAATAGCTTATGCAGACTCTCGTCCTTTGTGGTACGGACCACATCAATACGCAACAAATACCTATATACCTTAGCAATCTCCTGGCTTACCGATACCAATCGCTCTATAGCCTCCTAAATAGCCAATACAGTACGCTCCGGTCCCTTAGCATCCTCCTCGGGGCGCTAGATACTCTTAAATAACGGCTGCCAGGGGGTCCCTTACAAATATCAAACCTATCCCGTCTGATTTAACTATGGTATAGCTTTATCTAAATCCCCGGCCTAGATAATCGTCTTATAGGCCGTTTAGTCTTGCTGCTAATACTCCTCAACGATTTATACTAACTGGCGAATCCGGTTAGGGTCTTCAATAGGGTCCTCAGGGGGCTTATTAGGATTTAGTCGTATAATATAAATATAATACGAACCGGGGCCTTGGCTAAATATACACTGGCATACAACGGCTCGGCTATTAGCGTTAATAGTAGTCTGGATAGCTCTTGCCTGCCTGGGTATAGGACGGCCGCAGCCTTACTGCATACGATAATTATAGGTCTTTAACCAATATATCTTTATCGTACTGATCTGGCGGTATATATATACCTTATATTACCAGCATAATATTCTATCCTGGTAAATAGGTAACTCAGGGATAGGTTCATCAATCTGGCAGGGCTAACTATCTACCTCAGGCTGATTATCAATATAATCCTACTGCTAGATTACTCAGTCAATATACTGTACCTACAAACTGGGTATCTGATATACGGTGCTGCTTAAATAGGCCTTAATCTGTCCCTAGTATACGGTATATTAATATTTCTGGTAAATCAACATATAAAACTCGGCATTAACGTAAAATAATTTATAGGCCTGGTATTCTTGGTCTATATTAAATATTAAATATATATACCAGCTGGTATTATATATCTGGAAAATAGGAAAAACTCAATATTGTTCAAATAGGCTTAAACAAACATAGGATGATGATAGGGGTTCTTAAAATCTACCCCTGAAATTTGAAACTAAAAAAAAAACAAATTCTGTCACTAAACTAAATATGGTAGTTAATAGTGTTGGTGGTAATAACTGATCGCGACCAGCGGCTAGCGGTGACCCCATCAAAAAATCCTGCAAATTTCGGGCGGGTAAAATCAATACTAAATATGCTCTGATCGGGCTTAAATTTTGCTATAGAATAAAACTAATACTAAATTAAAATATATGTAAATCTAGGGATGCTACGACCCCGATAATATAAATCAAATGGGGGTATGAAATTTAAATCAAATGGGCCCTGTCCCCACTTTTTTTCCCCATACTTAACAAAACCCTAAAAAATCAAATGGGGCTCATTTGATTTACCCTTATGGGATAGATAGCGGTCTGTAGCGGTTTAGCGGTGTAGCGGTTTAGCGGTTTAGCGGTTTAGCGGTTAAGATAGCGGTCTGTAGCGGTTCAGCGGTTACACTTATAACATAGCGGTCTATAGCGGTTTAGCGGTTAACATATGTAAGCAAGGCCCTGTCCCTTATCTCCCAGCCCCTGATTAGAATCTTGCTGCTTAGATAACCCTACGACCATCTCTCCCAGCCCTGTACCTTATCGGTCTAACTTGATACCTGACTGGCCTAACCACCTAACTAATATCCTTACTGTCTAGATAGTCCTGCTACTATCTGCCTAGCCCTGTACCTTCTCTGCCTAACCATCAGAATTTATAATCTTGCTGTATAGATACTTTAACTATTCTTGTCAATATATATATCGTAAGTCTTACTCTGAATTCTTCTTTAATCTACTATCTCTCTACTAATATTCTGACTGCCTATTTAACTACTACAATATTATCTGTTCTTCCTACCTACCTAACCTACTACGATTAATATAGTCTGATTATCTGTTCTACCTACTAGTTAGAAATATTTATTTACCAATATCTCACTAACCACTAGGCTAATCTAGCTTATAATAGTATTAATCTGATTGTCAAAATCACCTCTATCACCCTATATAAATTAATATTAGTCAGCAGACTAAAAATTTCTAGACCTCTTTCATACTATTTTCTACCTTTATAGACCCTGCTTATATAATCAGAGCCTTCTCAACCCCTACTAACTAAGCTTATCTACCTAGTAGTACAAACCAGATTTAGTTAGCTCTTGTAGTTAGCCAATAAGCAGCAACCCTACTGTCTACCCTAAAACCCTTAAATACCTTATAACTAAGGCAGAAACCCTAGGCTTAGAAGGCTGGCCAAAAAGGGTATAGATTACCCGTCGGTCCTGGTCTTGGCATACCCCATCAAAAAATCACCTACCAAAATCAGACCCCTTAGGGTTTGACCCTTCCTACTAGAAATCATCCTATTAAACCTGATAGGAGAATATTTCAGATGATTCTGATCAAACTTCTAAAAAGACCGATCGAAAAATATTAAGATTTGACCTACTTAGGGGGGGGGCTGTTGGGTTAGGCCAACACCCCCCCTTGCCAAGACTTTTTAATGCGGAACACCCCCCCCCCTGGTGGGCCGGAATATATTTAGGAAGCCGAATAAATTGCGAGTGTATCCTGTCCATGTACAGGCAATGCAGCCCCTGTGGCCAGAGGGGCTAGCAAAATGCCGGCACAAAGGGCAATTTTGTCAAGAATGGTCGACTTCATGAGGCCGTGACAAGATGTAATTGAGGAAGAGAACTTTGGAAAGAAAAAATGAAATTCAAGCTAGACAGGTACCCAATCCTAACCGCACTAAACCTACTTCATATATCCTTGAAGACATATTAGAGCCCCAAAAGGATTTCTCGTGGCCCCTGGGGCTAACTGGGGGCCGTTCTATGGCCCCGAATCTTATACAGATACGATCTACTGGCCCCAAATCCACATGGATTCAGACAAGATCAACGTAAAGCAGGAGGCGGATCCAGGAGAGGTAAAATGCAATCTCTTTTTTGCCCCAGTATATTATTAAGATCCAAATTCCTGGTCGTAATAAGCGAAAGAAGCATCTTAAGGCATGCTCGTGTAGCTCCTAGTCTTCGAATCTTCCACCTACCTTTTTCTGAAGACCTTGAAAGCATCATCAGCTCTCAGTGAGACTTGCAATTCCTTGATTGTGCATCAACTACATATGGTAATGGATCGTTCTGCCACCAGGGGATCTACTGTGCCTACACCACTTTGGCGCCTCTGATCTGGGGCCGAAGACCTGGGGCCATGCATGCAATCTTGAATGGCCCCCGGGGCTGCTAGAAGCACTTCGTAACTGATTATAGCAATGAATACTCCGTACTATTCAATGATATACGATACCTTGAAATAGCACATTTAGGTACCATGAGGTATTTGAATTTGCGGTTATACCATGGTTTCATATCATAGCGAGGAACACTTCACAGCTAGTCCTCGAAAGTTAGATCATCAAACGGGGCCAAATCCCATTATCCGTGCTTTCAGTTCATTCCCTTGATTTACTCCGGTCTTTGGGCCCTCCTGAAAAGTCCCTGGAAGACCTTTTGCCCACGTGGTACTCGTATTCATAAGGCCTGGAAGCACGGTTGGCTCCCCACCCGAAATCCCGAGCACGGCGAAGTGGCTATATTCCACTTGAATTTCCGTTGAATGACACACGGAAGACGCTAGCTTTCTCGCTGGATCAATTTTGATGCAAGTTTCTTCGCCTTCTGGACCACCAATCCAAAATGGCTCATTGGACTCGAGGTCACCAGGAGAATTGGCATTAGACTCTCGAGATAATAGACTCTTCACATCCTTAGAGCCATCCCTGACCAGCATGCTTGTCAGTCCTTTGTGGTAGCTGGACCATCGATGGAGACGAAATTTCGGCTGCAACTCGAAGAAAAGACGCAGAGAGACTCCTTCCGAAAATGCTGATGGTAGATAGATCCCCATTACTGTCGACTGGGAGTTTTTGGTATTTTTACCAGCAATAAGCATCAAACGGGGACGTGAATCACTGGTAAAGGCCTTAGCGATATCTGTCACTGTTGAACTGTCACCATTTAGAGATAGTTGAATTGAATCGACAGCGATTCGTCCATCCTCCATCGGGCCATTCACACCGGTAATAGGATGAGGCACAAATAATGAAATAGCACCGATTATTTGACCCGAGATACCATTATGTGCTTCAGACTGAGTCCCAAAGTCTGCGGGCATATGGGACTGGAAAAGGACTTTCCATATCTGAGAAAATCGAATGTACAGATTTGGCTACGTTATGTTAGCCAGATCTGATCGTCTTGAACCATACCATTAGCATTGGAAGATTAATACTTACGAGTAGGTATAGTATCGAGCTGACTTGATCAAGCTCCAGGTACTCTTGGTCCTGGCCACCTAGTGAGTCCAATAAGATGATTGGTAACTCGTCACCGGGGTCTGCTTTCTCGAATCTGCCAAACAGGGCAGACGCATGTAGTCTCAGCCGAATGAGAATACTCAGTAACGTCGCGAAATGTTTTCGAGCTACGCGTCGTCTGCTTTGAGTAGTATTCCCAGCAAATAGACGTTTTGCAGTAGGGAAAACCTCTTCTTGCATGGGTGCATGAGGCGGAAAGAAAGGCTGCATCATGGCCACGACATCAGCAGTCTCTTCCACGGCAAAGTTCGATTCATCTTCTATTAAAGCGATTGTCCGTTCCGGAACTGCAATGCTTCTGAAGATCCTTTTCACTTTGGCTTGATGAACAAGATTCTGGTCGTACTGAAACTGCCAGTACATATCGGCTTCTTCTAGCACGCCCAGGAGATCAGCGCCTTGCGCGACCTGGAACAAAAATGCACGCTGAAAGGCCTCCCAGTCAATTCTCTCATCTGTCAAACTATCGGGGAAGGGGTGAAATGCGTGAAAATGAAAAGATCTCCATAGCAGTTGAATCACGGCCTGAGAACCCGCAAGGTCAGGATGCGTTTGCTTCATGTGCTCTCCGAAGCTTTCCTCGTTCCAATCTAAGATGTGTCAGTTTAATTTGAATAAAGATGAAGTCATTTTTCACATCGCTGCTTGTTGCCCTGGTCTTGAAAGGCGTATTTGTAGAAGGTTTTTTCCAATTCCGCAAGCTGCCCGGCCTTGAGTGTTCTTCGCTCCAATGTTCTTCGCTTCAAGGTTTCGAGGAGATCTCCGAGGATAGATTCTAGATTCGAGATTGCCAAGTCAGCAGGAAAAGCTTTTTGAAAATGATTAAATCCTGACCTTGTGTAGCATCGCGAAGATATTTTTTTGTATGCGCGCTCCCGCTCCAGGGGAACAGAAGATCCCGGAAGTCCCCCAAGGTGGACAGGATAGCGTTACCACTGGACATCTTGTTGACACCGGCACAAAGAAAGCAAGGAAATAATATCAGAGTCTCAGGCCTGGGTGTTTAATCGAGTGAAAAATCAACAAATGTCGATGTCCAAGGCTTTGTGACGTGTTTAGTTTGGGGATGAACAGAGAATGGTTCCGCGAGCGCCCCTCATCCCGGGGGCTAAAACCATTACTAGCGTCCACTGGTTGGGGCCAGAACGTCACCACTGAGCTACCCAGCTGAGCTAGGGGTGTTTCAACAAATAATAGCAACTTATCGATCGGTCTTTAACGGTTGAAATCCCAACTAGGCTGTGTTATCGTATCGTATCGCAGCCGACTACGATACGATAACGATATTTGAATTTTCCGTCCGATTGCTCAGCTTTTCTTATTTCTTACCTAGCCGTTGATTTCTTTGCCCCGTCTAGGTTCCAGTTACACTGTATGTTTGCACCTATTTACACAGGATAATGTCCGCCGGGGGGGGGGGCTATCCTGTCTGGGCTGCCGCCGCTATTATGAGGTCGATCAGGCTCAGGCTCACTGAGTAAATGTCAGCACGAGCTCATGCTCAGTGATCTCGGGAGTCCAGTCATGTGATCGCTCAGTGACCAATCATGGATGCTCAGTGATCACTCAGGTGAATTGGTATTGACTAAGGACACCGCAGCTTTTTAGTAGTTAACTAACCGCACCACAAAACCGATTCTCTAATAGTTAACGGAGGAATGGGAATTGATACGGACACAACAGGTTTTACTAGTTAAACTTAGACCTGGGCATGGGCATGCCCATGGACAGAATCAGCGTGGGCATGCCCAAATGGGCGTATGTCCATATGGGCACGCCGCGTGCCCATATGGCCCATTTGGCCCCCAAATCATGGTCCAAAAATACAATTTGTAAGGCATTACAGATCTTCTAACTAATTAAATAGTAGATAAAATTTAATAGTCTCTTAGATATAGGTTAATTAGACTATTAAAAGCTTATATTTAAGATTTTAGAGAAACATATATGTTATATAGAATTATATATATTGATATATATATTTATACCCCTATTTTCCTATACAAAAAAAAAAAAAAAAGAGGGGGTTTTCTAAAATTAACCTTTATCTATGTTTTATTCGCAAGCTAAATAGATTAGTCTATTCTATCTATGAATGCCCTTTAAAAATCTAAAATTACATTAATATAAGAAGTGGAAACGGGGTTCATACACACTGTATTTTAAAACGGGCACTTTGGGCACTTTGGGCATGCCCACATGTGGACAAAAAATCGATTTTTTGTCCATACAGTGTCCATGGACACTGCCCATGGGCCTGCCCAGGTCTACTCTAACCACTCACCGTGACCAGTTAGTACCGCGTAACAGCATAGATAATGATCAGATTCAACCGATCACAACTCCTTGGATATTCCATTTAAGAAAATACAGATTAAGGATTCTGAATGCCAGGGTATTAAAGCATAGGTACAGTACAAATTTCAGGTCTATATGGCTGTGGTTGTGGTAAGTCGAGTTCGAGAGCTCCGTACTGGTTTGGTGGCGCATTCAATATATAAGATAAATCTAAAAAATAATGCAGATACGGTCACGACCAGGATTGTGGAGGACGTACACCCCCAGCATTGCGGGAGTCCATAATCCTGTGGGAGTCTAAGCCAAAGCCTTCAAATCGGCTTCGCCTTCGAAGTAAAAGTCTAATACTCCAAGGAAGGCTGGAGACTAATAATTTATTTCTGTTAATACTTAAGAACTTGACTTCGAAGAAAAATCCAATTTGCAGACAGAAATTACAGCTTTGACACTAGGATAGCTTTGCAAAAAATGAGCGGAAAGAAAGAAAAATCAAATTCATTATCAATTACTTGTCTAACATGCTGATCCGAACCAACACTGAGAAATAAGAGTAATCATTGCACTTTCCGCTCTGCTTTCGCAGATCCATTAACTCCCAGTTACAGTCGCGAGTGGATATCCCGAAGCAATCTTCTTCGGGAACTTCTTGTAAATCCAATCCATCTCGGCCGGTGCGTTGTCCTTATAGGGATTTCCTTAATAGTCCGTCGCCTCTCCAAGCCATGACTCACCCTTACATCCTCCCCAGCCGTCTGTCTTCGCTCCAAGCTTGGCGAATTCACTCATCAGACAAGTTTCTAGTACATCATAGTATCCATTAGCAGCTCTCCACATTGCCGTCGTGCCCCAGAGTCCAGTATTCATTTCAGCATGGATGTTTGACACTCCACAATTATCGATTTTTTCGATGAGATGATCGGCATTCTGGATATTATCCCAGCCCTCAACTCCGTAGATTACGAAGATATACTCGTTCTTGGCAGAATTGTACACGGCATTGGTATCTGGGCCGGGAATCACGTATCGGACACAGTGCTGAGTTGCCGAAGGCACGGCAGTTGCTGTTGGCTCACCGACGGCTGTCACTTCCCCGTTGCCATCGCCGGTTGCTTCGGCGTACCACCAAGTTGTACCGGCATCCGTAGTCTCGTAGTTAGTAACCCATTCTTTTGTCGCTGTGCCATGGCCGACGGTCTCCACAATCGGAGTGAAATCATCAAGATAACCATAGTTATTCGTGTTGGTGGTCACAATGCCAGTAGCAAAGGCCCAGTGATTCCCATTACCGAAATCGCTGGAAGTGAAATCGGTAACAAAGATGGTGGTCGGTGTCTCGGTAGTTGTAGGGGTATTAGTAGTGAACGAAACTGAAGTGATATAGGCGCAGACCAAGGCTGTCTCTGAGCCCTGGGTATGTAGAAGTGGGACCCATTTCTGCGTGCCAGATGATTCGCATGCACAGTAACCAGACTTGCTATTTGCACCAGTGCTATAGCCATCTATACCACCGTCACCACCGAAGTTGACTTTGCAGAGATCAGAATACGTCTCTGACACGTCCATGAAGCCTGTGGTTGGGAATGCTGTATAGTCAGCGCATTTTCCGCCAGATGACTCAGTGAGGTAGCTTGTCACTGATTCGGTGGCTATGCCTGTGGTCGCTGTCAAGCATTTGCAGTACGTTCTTGTTCCTGAGGGTACCAAAACATCCGTGCCCTGGCATAGGCCTGATGCTGTGGAGGCTCTTGTAGTAGTTGTTAGAGTTATACCTGTTATCTTGGGGCCAGATATAATAGTGCCAGACGAGGTACCATTCGATGTGTCACTTAAATATTCAGTCATGATGACAGTGGAAAATATTCGACGTGTGCAGGCCTTGACACCACTATATAAGGTAGTGGTTGCAGTAGTCGCAGTGATATCGCAACCAGTCTTTGTCGAACAAGTACTGGTCGTGCTTGTAATGACTGTGGGACTTCCAGTTGAGCCAGAAGAAACTGTGGACGTAATGAAGAGTGTTTTATCCTGGCAGTCTGTGACAGTTGTCTCAGAGGTACAGGTGGCAGTCGATGTGGCAGTCGATGTGGCAGTGGAAGTTTCAGATGAAGTGCCAGATGAAGTTCCGGTCGAGCTATCTTCGCTGGTGGTCTTATTGTCATCATCATTCTCTTCCTGTTCTTCAAGATTTTGCAGCTTCTCTGCGACTTTCGTCAACTCCTCGAATTTGTTCTTGAAATCAGATTCAATCTCGCTTCTGATGCCGTCGACATCAGGCAATTTATCCTTCAGGTCCAACAAACCCGACTTGGTCAAATCCAGTCCATCATTGATGATAGGTCCAATAGTCTTTGATCCCTTTGTAATCGAATCCTCCGCTTTGTTCACAAAGCAGCTGACCTTGTTAATGATATTGGTGAAAGCCGAGAAAAGCCCTTTCTTCGAGCTACAGCCAGATCGATGGCTGCCTCCTGAGCCTCCCTTGCCATCATCCTTCCGCTTTTTGATATAATTCTCAATGACTAATTTACCCTTGGCAATATTGTCCTTCACATGTTTTATGGTCTCTGAATCTTTGAGGTTTGCCTTCTGAATGTTGGCGTTGAGATCTCCAAACCACAATCCGATGTAAAAGCCTCCTGTAGCAGACGACGTTCCAGTTGTGGTCTGAGTCATCTCATCGGCCAGCACATCCCATGCAACAGTCGCCGTCTTTTTTGGCCAGTTGGTAATCACCACAGCCATTTCCTCAGATGCGGTTCCTGTCAGAGTAGATACCATGGATACCATCTGCTCTAGGTCAAGAGCATCCGCAGTGCTCGAGGAATCGGATAAAGTAGACTGGCTTGATGTACCACTCGAAGAAGTAGACTGAGTTGACGTACCACTGACCGAGGTAGAGCCAGATAGGGTTTTTGATGTGCCACCCGAGGTTGAGCTGGATACAGTTGTTGTGGAGTCATCGGAGGAGGTAGTAATCATTCGAGTTCTGTAAACATTGCTGGATGAATAACCGCCGGTGGTATGAGGGTGGTTGTTAGTATTCGATCCAGTACGGCCATCCGACCGAGTTGTTGTTTTATCAGTTGAAGTAGAACCACTGGAAGTGCCACTAGTTGACGCGCTCGAATAGGCTGATTAAGAATTGGTCTCCGTGGCCGTTCCAGTAGTTTTGGATGTCAGAGATGTACTTGACGACACTCCACCGGATTCAGTTCTACCCCCAGTATGCAAGGTATAGACCTTGTCAGAGGTAGCGGTAGCCTTGCTTTGGGATATAGATACCGATGCGGTCGAGGTTGCTGTACTCTGTGTTGACTCAGAGCCACTAGCATCAGTACTCCTCTCTTTCCCAGTAGCACCTGAGGATGATAAGGTTATAGTCAAGGATGATCCATTACTATGGCTACTAGTAGAAGATTCGCCAGTTCCTCCCGCGCCGTATTGAATAGAACTGAAATAAATCACTGGTACTGAGCCAGTAGGAACGGAGAAAGTAGTCTCGAAATGTTGAATCCATATACTAACGCCTGGGCTGATTTTCACAGAGACCAAAGTCACTGGGCACGAGCTCGATGGACAAGGTGTCAATATTATAGGGGCATACGTGGATGACTTTGCAGACGTTTGCTTCGTCAACGAGACAAAATCAATTACTGCAGTTGAGCCACTCAGGGCAACAACATCAGCCTAGACAACAGTAAAGCTTGGTTTACCCGATACAGTATACTCATACTTTGTCACTTCGCCAGTAATTAGGCCTTGAATAAGGTTGAAAGCAATACCCCCCTTTATCAGGGGCAGAACAGCCAAGAAAGCGCTCTTCTGGAAGAACATGGTGATATGCTCCCAATGCAAACGTATAATGCTCAACCCAAACCATTCGATTCCAATTTTGCTACGCGTATTCCTGACATCTTATATTTCCCAAAGTAATATCCCTTCGCCCCCAACACTGACAGGAGACGAAGCATAATAGTCCCTCTTTTAGCGGCCAATTTCCCCTTGGGGCCACAGGATCTTCTAGGGGCAGCGCTAGACAGATAATCTCACACTCTTCACAGCCTCGCGTATACACACCCATAAAGTACCGTATACTGTACCTACTAGTACAACATATATATCTTGGGTCAGGTAAGAACCAATAAGAACCCAGGGCTGTTCAAGTTGGAGTCTGCCTTCTAGTATTATAGCCCCAGAAATCCTTTGACTAGTAGTAACAGGATACGAGAAGTATACCTCTTAAAATAGTTAGCGCAAATCCACACAGTTCAAGTGGCCCCCAAAAGGCCGGGGCCGCGGCAAGGTAATAGGCCCGCACTTTGCCCCTGAATAGTCCTACATTTACGATACCTTTTGAGGAAAATCAGTATAAAAACTAATAGACCTAAGTCCCACAGGCCTGGCAAATATAGCCTGTCATAATGCCCGAGATCATCAGATCTAACTTATTTGGCCCCCGCAATATTGCAGTAACTTACGAAAAGGTCTTTTAAAGATATTACAAAGTTGCAAGACCATGGCTCTGCCACATTGGGGTCTAAATACCTTGTAGAAGATGATCTTGGGAAGATAATCTCCTAAAGATATTCTAATAGATCATCCAGAAGAAAGATACCCCTGAATAGCGGTAAAAAAGGGTGCTTAAAAAGGAAAAGTGCTTTTCGGAGTCTTCTTGTATAAAAGTCTCCTTTCATACCCCGTTCCGAAGCCTGATTATTCTGAGCAAGCATCCAACACTATACTGGCCTTCCCTCACTTAAAGCAGTTTCTGCTGCTAGGCCTGATCAGTACTCAAGCACTGACATATTATATCCCGGAATATGCTTTCTCTCTATCCATTCTTATACTATGCTTTAGGCGTATCTATAACTAAAACTCACTAGGCAAGAACGTACAGAAAATACTGCAATATCTCGCCGTAATGGCAAGTCTCCGGATGCCACGCCTTATAAATACCTCGCAGATTTGAGCAATTATAGTCTATCCTGTGGATCTGAGACCGTCCCAAAAGCTAGGACTGTCAAAAGAAGCCGGTTACCCTATAATAATACTGATTACTTGTCTTCGAATACCACTGAGGTATCTGAGGTATTAAATAGATTGGCAAAGAGAGCTTTTGGTATTGATCTACTGGGCAAGCGCAAACCCGAGGACAGAATCCGACTATTATATCGGCAGTAACCAGTGTCCTTATTCCCAGGATCCTTAATTTTAAGGAACTTACCAGCTTAGATTCTTTACAAGTGACAACTTAGTGAATCCACCGAGAGACATAATATGGACAGTAGCGTACCAGAGGAGGTTGATAGATAAGAATGGGAATATTCTGAATAACGCGTTTTAGTTCAGGACCGGATCCCTTCACGGGTATACTATGCTAACTATTGTAAGCAAAAGAGCCGTCTAGATAGTAAGCCCCCCTAATTTCTTTTCAACCTTTTTTTTTCTTTGAGATATAAAACCGCTTTACGTCCTTCCCAACGAATGCCTATCTGCTAATGGATATACAGGCGTACTTCTGGGAGGGTCTGGCATAGAACAAGGCAGACCTATGGGATCAAGAAGACCGGCAAAACCTCCATGACTACGTTATTAGAGCTATCCTTAGAGGTGGCAGAATATAGATTATGTTACTCCGATTGACTGGAATCTGTTCAACAACGACTCAGATAATACTCGTCTGATTTGCATAACTCTAGCCTACATAAAAACCGAAAACCTCGGCTGCCGACTACCTATTGTATCAGAACAAGATTGAAAAAGTTAAGAATGTTATTAATGAGCATCTCGCGTGCGTCGAACACGAGATATTTCTGTATTATCGACTAATATATAGTTACAACGGCGGGGACCAGATAGGGGATGATGATCAGCATATTAACAAGGGATCCTACAGACTGACTCTGTTTTAGTAAGTCTCACATAGCGATTTTGCGGCCGTCGAATTAGTATTAACACTTCTTAGATAGCACGGAACCAATACCTGGCGACTGTTTTATAAGCATAACATCTACTCGAATAATGAAGATCAGGCTTATCTAGCCAAAAGGACTAGACCACTCGCTCCCCGGACTTTCGTAATTGACTGGAGGGGTTAGGTATTCAAGATTCAACGTACCAAATATTGTTATATATATGTGTAGGCTGAGTTAGTTACTAGGTAATATATAAGGCAAAATGTCGAGTTGGGGGCCGAAACCACAATAGAAGGTAGAGACAATAGCAATGCACGGTGTACAAAGCCATAGTTAGTTACTATATAGTATATACAGTGAGGCAGGGTTTGGCTTTTGGCCCATGGCCCACTTAGTGATCATCATATTCTGATTAGGATAGTCCCAGAGAACCAATCAGTAATACTTAACCAGATAATACCCCTTATATATATAGCGTATAAATACTTAAGTGAAGTTACAGAAATGACTTTATATCAGCAATAGCCTCTTCTCTCTTCTTCCCTTCTTCACCTATTCTTATCCCTTAGTCATATTTAATGAATTAACTACCATAACTGTTTCACTATACTACTCTGCTTTCAAAATTTACCCCCTACAGTTTATCAAATAATTCTATAGGCTCTGTGGCAAGAAAATATGCCTAGTATCCGTGCCTTTGCTGGCGCTAGTCAAACTTATCATACTCTGGCTTTACCTGTTCTCTACTAGACTCTCAAATTCCCCGCGTCTGAAAGCGAGAAACTCAGGAACCGTGTTGAATCTATTTCTTAGATTCTTCAACAAAATTTAGGCTTCTGATCTGTAAACTAACTCGTAGTAGGCCAAGAGCTGATGTTGAGAGAAGTAGTAAGTTATAGTACAGAGTTAAAAGAAGATATTAACCGAAACCGAACCGCTGTCTTAGTAAGCAATCTACATAGATCTCTGGATCGCTTTAATAGCCATAAGAGTCTCTATCGGTAGGCGGCAACACACTATCCACCGGAGGCAGATTCCCTACGTCCTGACGCCTAGCAAGACCTGGCTGTTCTGATCCAACAACTGCCTACGCTACTCATTATCGATTTCTGTCTTGTCTACTGGAGTCCCTTCACCACTATTATCTATAATGCAAGCTTTATATCCACAACTTCTTTCTACAGAGTTTGAAGTGCCCTGTATTAAATCCATACGAGTTTTAATTGGCCACTTCCTTATACCTTTTCAGTCTTAAGGGGGAGTACAAAGATTTATTTTGGCCAGGATATCTAGAGCCACACAGAGTACCATAACGAGAGCCGCTACTAGATAATACCTACCTTAATAAAGCTATTATATATATGGCGCCTGGACTTACTCCCAATTTGAAAGAGGTCACTCTATATCGCCCGTCTGGTAGCGGTACGCCTGTAATGTCTCCTCTGCCACCTTGGTAGGGATTTCCACACAAGAAGGAACCCAACCTAGAGAGATACTTAAAGTGTGGCGCCTTAAGATGCCTTTAACTTAATTATACATCTCTTGTAAAAAAAGATAATATCAAGCATTGGGCGGCTTATACGGACTTTTTAGCTCTAGAGGTATTCAAGCTTAAATCAAAACTTATAACCGATCTTCTACACTATCTAAGTATAGAAGTTGATTTCGCACGTTTGAAAATACTGGCTCTAATTCCTAATAATATTGAGAACAATGCCTACTAGTCAATCGGCATCTTCCTCCAAAGACTATAACCATTATCCTCTTTAGAGTTAAAGGGTTGGATGGCCAGCTCTATATTAGATACTATTATATATTTCTATAGCGATAGCTTAATTAAATTAAAGCTGGCAGGAAGCAAGGGCAATAAACCCGTCAGTATTATTAAGAAGTATGATCTATCGATAATTACGCAAAGTTACACCCGGCTCTAATATCTTAATCTGACTTTGGATCACATAGGAGGAGATTCTGATAAGGTCGCTCTGTACAGAATCTTAGGGACTATACCACGACTGAAATTTGTCTCCTTAAAATTACACGTCTCGAAAAGCTGGGACTGTA